TTTTGACCACTGTGTGACAGAATGTTGGACTGGATGGGCCATTGGCCTGATCCAACATTGGCTTCTCTCATGTTCTTATGACCCTCCTTGGGCTGGATCTGCATGTGGATCTTTCAGCAGACTTTGAGACCACTGTGTTTTAATTAAAAAGGCAGCTCACAATCACTGGGGGAAAGTTTCCTTACCGGTGTCTTAAAACACTAGTCCTCAAGAGCTCCTGACTTGTTCTAACTAACACCAACCCTGACAACTGTCCCTTGCCCCTGAAGCAGTGGTACTTTCTAAGCCGCGTCAGTGCCTAGGAAGCAGCTGCCGTGACCTCAGAGAATGCACAGGCCGCACCTTACCTGCCTTCTTGGATTCGCTCTTCTGCAGACATAATCTGCTTGTTTAGTTTCTTTACTTGCTTGTAGTGAGAAAAGCATTCCTTGTGGTCTTGGTCGAGCTTCAGGCATTCGCGAACTTCACTTTTCACCGAAGAAAGAGAAATAAGAGAAGAGTCAGTTGGGGACAGAGTGCAACACTCCAGAGGTCTCGGTTCAAACGTTACTCTGAGACTCATGGAATGAGGTGTGTGTGTGGAAGTGTGACAAACTGTACTATCTCATGCTCACTTCTGAGAAAGGAGGCTATTAGTGGCCCCTCAGAGGCCCCAGGTGAACACACATGCAAAAATTGCAATAGCAAAGTCCTTTGTACACTAAAAAAATAGTAAGAGTCCAGTAGCACCTTAAAGCAGCCACTGCCAAATTGGTAGCAGCCACTGCCAAATTGGCCTTTTACCATCTTCGGCTGATCCGGCAGTTGGTTCCTTTCCTCGACCGTGATGACCTGGCTATAGTGATCCATGCGATGGTCACCTCGAGGCTAGACTACTGTAACACTCTCTTACATGGGGCTGCCTTTGGCGCAAATTCGGAGGCTGCAGCTAGTGCAGAATGCTGTGGCCAGGCTGTTGGTGGGCGCCCCAAGATGGGAGCACATCCAGCCTGTGCTGAGGGCGCTGCACTGGCTGCCTATAGCATACCGGATTCGCTTCAAAGTGCTGGTGCTTACCTTTAAAGCCCTATATGGCCAGGGTCCGGCATACCTGAGGGACCGCCTTTCCCCACATATGCCCCAAAAAGCACTTCGGTCAGGGACGCAACATCATCTGGCGATCTCAGGCCCCAGGGAGGCCAGGCTCGCCACAACTAGGGCCAGGTCCTTTTTAGTGGCGGCTCCTACCTGGTGGAATGAGCTCCCGGAGGAGACGGAGCTCTTCTGCAAGACGGAGCTCTTCCACCAGGCTTTCGAGTAGGAGCCGCCACTACCACTACCATTACCACCATCGGTATACCAAGGGACGGCCCTATGAAGACCAAGCTGCGACCTCGCTGTGGATCGTCACCATTGGATGGGGACGAGTAACCTCTATGGGTCCATTAACCTCCTTATCGCTATGTAATATTCTTGGGAGTACTATCCTGTTAAAGTTAATAGATTGACACTATGGAGCACTTTACTTGTGATGTGATATTTTATTCTGTTTTTATGTTGTTTTATGCTTCGGCCCATGGTGCCCGCTTGTGGGGAGGGCGAGGTAGAAATGTAACAATAAATAAATAAATACTAACGGAATATGTGGCAGGGTATGAGCTTTTCTCACTTCTTCAGATACCATTTTTACACTAATTTGTACACTAATTGTAAGCTATGGGGCTTGTAAGTCATGGTCCACGGCATCCTCCTCATGGATCCCATTGTGATGTGCAACAGGGAGTGAGCACGGAAATCGCAATGGATCCTGTGAATGTCCACTTGTGTTGAATCGTTTTAACTTGTATTTTATTGCACTGCGTGCCTTAACTGGTTTTAAATTTGTGGTAAACTTGTGGTATTGTATTATATTTGTGTTTTGTAAGCCGCCCTGAGCCCGCGTGCGGGGAGGGCGGGGTATAAATGAAATAAAATAAAATAAAATAAATAAATAAAATTTAAAGGGGAGTATTTAGGGAAAACTATTTGTTTTCTCCCATTCCACGCGTATAGATTTAGGGCTGAAAATACGGTTGCCAGGTCTGGGTTGGAAAATACCTGGAGACTTTGGATGGAGAGGGCGGGGTTTGGGGAGGGGAGGGGCCTTAGCATGGTCCAATGCCACAGAGTCCACCAGAGCAGCCATTTTCTCCAGGGGAGCTGATCTCTGTCAGTTGGGGATCAGTTGTAAAAGCGGGAGATCCCCAGGCCCCACCTGGAGGCTGGCAGCTCTAGCTGAAAATGGCTGAATGTCTCAGTGTACTTTTTAAAAACTATAAAGCAGCGGCCCGGGCTGGGGGTGGGGGGTAGATTTGGATCATAGCCACAGCACCTTTACACCGTTTTCCCAGTAGAAATACCACCCCCAGCTGCGAGTATCCTCAGTAAGGAAAAAAGACGCAGTTTCACAGAGCCTAGCTTTTAATAATCCTCCAGTTTTATCATTAAAGTCTTCTCTATAAAGGCTTCTCCTGTTCCCTAGCTGAACTATCAGCTATCAACAAAAGCATTCCACTAGTATTAGCAGAACACGGAGAGATCTCCACACTGGGCTTCTGGAAAAGAAACCCCTCCCCCATATATTTTAGCTTTAAAACCATGTAGCTTTAATTCAGCTTTCTAGCACTGGAAGCAATGCTTCTGGGAGTTCCCTGTGAATTTCGGGTTTTTGGTTTTCAAAGGGAGAATCGGTAGCCCTTGCAGACATGGAGAAAACTTGCAACACATACCTCTGCCAAATCCAGTAGAATTACACCACACACACACAGAGAGAGAGAGAGAAACACAAACACACACACGAAGTTGTTATACCTATCTTTTAACTGTTTAAATTGTTTTTATTTTTTGATATTCACTTTTAATGGTCTATTGATTGTAATTTATTGTTGTAATCCACCCTGAGTCCGCTTGCAGGAAGAGCAGGATATAAAAAAACACACACACACACACACACACACACACACACACACACAAAATCTCACAAGGACAATCCCCCCCCACACACACATACATTTTAATTTTGAAACTGATAGACCATCAAAGGTTTCCCTCGCTTGAAAGCTAGTTGTATCTGACTCTAGGGGCAGTGCTCATCTCTGTTTCCAAGCTGAAGAGCCAGTGTTGTCCAAAGACTTCTCCATGGTCATGTGGACTAAACGCCGAGGTGCACGGAACGCTGTTACCTTCCCACCAAAGCGGTACCTATTTATCTACTTGCAATTTTTTGCTTTCGAACGGCTAGGATGGCAGGAGCTGGGACCAGAGACAGGAGCTCACTCCGCCACACAGCACTCGGGTCTCGAACTGCCAAGCTACAGACCTTCTGGTCTGCAACTCAGCGTCTTAACCTATATAATTCAATTGGGACCCCAACTTTCTCCCCAATGGGGACCCAAAGTGGCTTACATTGTTCTCTTCTCCTCCGAATTACCACCACAATAACCCAGTGAGGTCAGTTAGGTTGGGAGAGTGTGACTAGCCCAAGTTCACCCAGCAAGCGACCATGGCACGAGTGGGGATTCAAACCTGGGGTCTCTCAGACCCTAGTTCAACATTCTTAGCCGCTACACCACACTGGCTCTCATTGAGCTGTCGTGGCCATACCCTGGTTTATTTATGAAGGGAACAAGCACGATTTATCCTTCAGACCCCACAGACGTGCTCCCAGCTCCCCTTGGACAGAAAGCCGCCACGTAAGACTTCCTGCTTTAGGAAGTCTTCATTCTAAGAACAATCTGTTGTAACATGTAAATTGAAGCTCTTTAATAAATTGTAGAGGGGAAAAGCAAACCACACATACTTGGATTCTAAAACAGGGCTTAACCTTGGTTTCTAGGTAATATACAGCCATTTATTAATGGCTGTGAAAGCACATCATTGGAAGGCCACAACCACTTATGGTTTTATTGAAGACTTCATAAATCAGTCAGGAAGTCTTCCATCAGTACCACAGACAACAGGGAAGGGAAGGGTGAGAGCCAGAGGATACGCCAGGCTTGTTCTCACCATAAACAACTTGGGAGCTTATTTATGGCCACTGAATGCAGGCAACACTGTGAAGCTTCGTTTCTCTGGCCTTTCCTGCTGCAAACACATGAGCAATTTCACTACAGTCAATTTCTCTTTTGTTCATGCTTAGCAGACAAAATAGCAAGGTGACTTATAGTGCCATCCTAAGCTGGTCTATCAAGAATCCTACTCGGTGGGGCTTACGCCCAGTCAAGTGTTTTTAGGACTGCATGGTTAACCATCCTTCTATCAGAACAGAACCCCCGTGGTTTTTGATGAGTGCCAGTTTGCTGAAACTTCTTTCACCTTCCGCCACCGTTATCGGCAGTGTTCACGAAATCTGCCAAGGCTATGCATACTCCACTGAACATTAATTGCTGAGGGTTTTTTTTTAATACATCTCATTTAATAAGAATAAGGTATGCTGAGGCCGTTCAAGGCTTTCCCCCCAAAATTAAAACTGGATCCCCCCCCCCAATTCTACATTTCACAAAGCAAGTTCTTAAGAAGAGCGCTAAGATTGTTGTGAAGTACACATTTAACATCATCCGATAGTTCTTCGAGCAATGTTGGATGCTGCCAAGACTGGTATAGCATCTTACTGGAAGGATGCAAAACCACCAAGTATTGAGGTATGGTATCGGAAATTATGGTCTCAGTATCTCATGGACTCTGTCCAGGGCCGGATTTAGACTTGCTGAGGCCCTAAGCTATACAAAACCCAGAGGCCCCCTACTGTTTTAAATTACATCAGCTGGTCTCAAAAAAATGTAAAATATAGACGCCTTTTTAATTTTTGAACTAATTTTTTTATATTGTGTTTTTATTTGAGGCCCCAGCAGATTGCGAGGCCCTAAGCTGTAGCTTATTTAGCTTATGCGTAAATCCGGCACTGACTCTGTCTCAGTTCAATTAAACTCTAATGCTCATTCGTCATGGCATTCCACCTTCACTGCAAAACGGTACCCAGTTCTGGACTATCTGTCCCAACAAGAATTTATCCCACCTGAATGGTCTCCGCTTCATAAATGGTTATGAAAATTAGACCATAAATGCTCTATAGTATCGTTTAAGTCGATTATTTTGATGTACAGTAGCACTCAATTTTGTATTTTGTTAGATTACTTCACAGTTTTTTTTGTAAACGTTATAAACTTTGAACATGGTTCTAACCATTGTACTTGCATTGTTAATACGTATTTGCAGTATTGCCGCTTATGAAAGTTCAAGTTTTTCTATTTTTGTAAAAATTGTGTTTTACTTGCTGTAAAACTCTAATAAAATGTTTATATATATTTTAAAAAAGCAACGTGTTTTAGGACTAGGGTTGCCAGGTTGTCCCCCCCCAGCCAATGGCAGGGGATGGGGGGGTAGGGGTTGACAGCTCCAGGTTGAGAAACTCCTGGAGATTTGCAGGTAGAACCTGGGGAAGACAGGGACTTCAGTGGGGTAGAACCCCATAGAGTCCACCACACCATCCATTTTCTCCAGGGGAACTGATCTCTGTAGTCTAGAGATGAGCTGTAATTCCAGGGGATCCCCAGGTCCCACCTGGAGGCTGGCATCCCTACTTAGGACTGAATGGAACTGTGGGACAATATTGCATCAGTGGCCTAAGGGTGTGGCCACACGGCAAGCTTACCGCAATTTGTTCCTGCTGTAGATTTGATTGGGGATATTTTTAACTGGTTTCTGATGATCATACATCCCTTGCCCAACCGCTTGCATTGCGCGACGTGGCTCCAGGCACCGTCCAGACAGCTGTGCCCCCCAAGTGGTGGCATGGAACATTAACAACAACAAAAAAAAACCTTTGCGCATGCAGCGTTTTCCCCCAAAACAGTGAACAAAATGAACTACCGACGTGTAACCGAGCGCTGTTTTCTGTGAGCTTGAGCGTTCATGTGTTTAATATATTCAGCGCAGGATTGGTCATGTGCACAATGGTGAAAGCCAGAGGAGAAGAAACTACCGCAAGAAGGACGTACAGATGACCTTGTTGGAATATGTAAGTATTCAGCATGTGTGATACATGGGTAACAATGTAAATAGATCATGCCAATCTAAAGTGACAGGTGTCAGAGTAACTGTCAGTCCAGGAGACCAGAGCAAACCAATTCTGGCTGGTGCAATGCTGATGTCTTATCAGAGTGACTCAGCAGTGATATGATTGGTCGTCATGTGTATATAACTGTGAATGTACTGTACATTGTGTGCTGACTTAAATGTTGACTGCTTGGCGAAGCACTTTGACGGTGAGAGCTGTGTCTTGTAAATAAACTGCACTGTATATAGTTAACCACTAAACCTGAGTCTGTGTGGTGACTATAGTGGGACTTCAGCAGGGTGCAACTGGACTGCTACAATCCAACGGTGACCTGGGGATGCAAGGAGCGCACTCCGCAACAGACCTAACTGCATTCAAAGGGAGAGATGGCTGTCCAGATAGGAGAAATTGCGGATTCACAGCGCGAGTAGGAGGAAAGTACTTGATTTTCCCAGTGTCGGAAAACACGCTAGAAAACCGGGAGGATTGCGGGGGTAAGTCCGCTTCGATACAGGAGACAGAATCGGCTGTCTGATCAGCCCTTTTAAATGTGATAGGGAACAGTTGTGAAACCCCACAACCTAATTGACAGATGACAGTCTACAAGGCTGCCCAGCACACATGCCTTCAGAGACCAGGGGAAGAGTGGACTAAAAAGAGCTTGAAAAGCTCTGGCGGAGGGTCACCTGAGCGCTACATACTGCTCCAAGTCTTGGATGCTCCCCACTCAGTATTTATACAGGGTCAGATCAGCCCTTTTAAATGTGATACGGAACAGTTGTGAAACCCCACAACCTAATTGACAGATGACAGTCTACAAGGCTGCCCAGCACACATGCCTACAGAGACCAGGGGAAGAGTGGACCAAAAAGAGCTTGAAAAGCTCTGCGGAGGGTCACCTGAGCGCTACATACCGCTCCAAGTCTTGGACGCTCCCCACTCAGTATTTATACAGGGTCACCAGCGTAAAGTAACAAAAGCAAAAGACATGTCTCCCGCAGCAAGGAGCTTACCATAAAAATTAATCAAGCTTTTAATTAAACAGAAGACTTTGTTTTAATTCCCATGAGAATAATGCAGAACTCACACTGGATAATATCATGGCCCAGAATATATGGGCAGAACCACACACTGTAAGGAAAGTCCTGGATTCCTAACGCTACTCTTTCTTTCTTTCCCATGATGCAGACACAGAGGAAACACTTGCAAGAGAGAATGAGAAGGCCGGAGACAGGTAATTTCTTTATTTTCCCTGCAAATGCACCTCTTGGCTGTTTAAAAAAAATCATTTTCTCCTGAACCTTGGCTTCAAAATCTAACCTAAGCCCCGAAGAGGGGAACAGGGGCTGGGAAGGGCATTTCCGAGGGCGAATTAGCAGGATCAGGTTATGTACTTTTCCCCCTGCTGATTCTTCTTTGGACTCATTATCTCAGCAAACAGGGAGAATGTTTTTGCCAAGGTGGTGTGTTTTGTTTAAGGATTAGTGCTCCGAGAAAACATTTTACACACGATTACAGATAACACCAACCTTACCTTAGAGACAGTTCATGGTCCCCTAGCTGGTAGTATATAATGCTGAGTTTATATAATGCTTCTGTATTATCACTCTTCAGCTTGGAGGCAGTTTTTAAATCATTGATGGCCTTCCCGGGTTCTCCTTCCTTGATGTAGCATTCTGCTCGAAGCTCACGCAGTTCTGCAGCCCAAACAGAAACCTTGAGAAACCAAAATAGAAGCAAGACTTTGGTACACAAATCACCTTTTTTATATATATAAAAAAATGTATTTTGAGACAGAATGTAGCTTGATGCTCTCTCTTAAGGTGAGGCCAAGTTCTTTAGGGACAACTATATTTGTAAACATTTATATGCCACCTCTTCAGGCGCTGAGTAAAGAAGTCTAACAAATAGAACCCCCACTCCCCAAGATGTCAACTTCAGTGGAATATGGTCCCAAGCGTTCAGACTTCCCCCCCACAAGTAGGGTTCCCAACTCCTTGTTGGGAAATACCTGGAGATTTGGGGGGGGGGGCTGAAGAGGGCAGGGTTTGCAAGGGCAGACACTTCTGCAGAGTATAATGCCATACAGTCTACCCTTCCAAGTAGCCATTTTCTCCGGGTGAACGAATCTCCATTTTCCGGAGATCAGTTGTAATTCCAGGCAATCTCCAGGCCACACCTGAAGGTTGGCGACCCTATCCACAAGAGGAACTAGAAACCTGGATTTGGTCTTAAGCCAACCACAGTATATGTGGAGACAATAGTTAGTGGTGGAACTTTCATTTGTGGTTCCATCAAAGTCAAGTTTGTCAGGAGGAGTTGCTCAGCGGCTACCTGCAGAACCCCCATTTATTTCTCGTCAGCTGTTTCCCCTCTGGGACTTACTTCCAGAATCTCGTCCAAGAAGCCGATAGCAGTATAGTAATTCCCCTGGCGATACGCAGACTGTGCTTGGGAACACAGGCGCTGCATCTCATCAGACTTCAGCAGCTGGGAGCGAGCATCTGTTTCCTCCTTATCGCTAGGATTAGACCGGAGCTGTAAACATGAACAAAGGACAACCACTGTTACACGTTGAAACCGAAAGATTCCACAAACCGACACGAACCATGCGAAAGGCAGGAAAAAAGAACAATGCCACTGAATTCCTTTGAAAAACTTTTCTAGAAAAGAACTCTTGTTACCAAACCTCAGTGGTTCAAGGCAGTGGAAAATGTGATAGTTGTAATGTTCAAGTGGGGGGTGATCCCCCATTCACTTGGATGGAGGGGCAGCATTCCCCATGCAAAGCACATCGGAAAGCCCACACAAGGCGGCAGCTGTATGTAGTCACCAGAAAGCATGACTACTTCTCAACAGGAAACTGACAGTCATACATTACTGAAAGACCACATCACTCTTCACGAGTCCATACGCCAACTTCATTCAGTTCAACAATTCCTGTTTGGAAAAGTCTACCTTGGTGGGTGGTTCAATTGGCTGCTATCCGGTTGGACCAGGGAGACATGGGTACTCTAGACATGTATCTGGCAAACAGGCCTCACTTTCTAATTTGGTGCCAAATCTATGCTGGTTTGAGGAAATGAGAGCAGGACCAGGTAAACTGGCCAGCGTGCTCCCTGATTGGCTGAAGGTGAGAAGGATGGAATTCCCAGGTTACCCCTTCTGAATAAGGAAAACAAAGGGAGGACCATGAAAGGAAGTGCAGTTGGAGGCAATGTTGCATTCACAGACCTGAATAGACTTAAAGGGTGTGATTCTGCTTAGGATGACACTATTAATTAGCTCACTTAGCCGGAGTTCTGGCAGAAGATTTCCACAGGTCAAATTAGATCAGCTCCGACCAAGAACTACTGAATGGGGGATGCTAACCCAGCCTCAGTTCTTCCTAAGATTGGATTGCTAGTGAGACCCGATCCTCAGTCTATTCTGATTAACTGCTTCGAATAACGATCTATGCTCTAGACATGGAGCTCAGTTGTGTTCTTTTTGGAGCTGTTACTGGCCTGATGGCCTTACGGTGGGGGTAACAATGGACTCTGCCCTCTCTCTATAACATCTCAGTCCCTGTCTTGGAGGGCAGCCCAAAAACTAATTTTCTGGGACTGATGATTGGCAGAAATGGTCTCGGCATCACGATGAAGAGAGGAAAGAGGATATGCAAAAATGAAGTCTTGGTAGTGACAGTCCACACAAGGAACATCTTGGTTGCTGACTTTAACCCTTGGAATGGACTCCCAGGAAAGTCTGGATGGCCCCAGCACTTTCATCATAACAAAGGTCTGTTGCCAGCCTCCAGGTGGGGGCTGGAGATCTCCTGGGATTATAACTGATTTCCAGGCAACAGAGATCAATTCCCCTGGGGGAAATGGCTGCTTCGGAGGGTGGACTCTACAGCATTATACACGGCTAAGATCCCTCCCCTCCCCCGGCTTCACCCCCAAAATCTCCAGGTAATTCCCAAGCGGGAGTTGGCAACCCTACAAAGGTCACTCTCTTATTTGAAAATATCCTGAAAAATTTATGGAATCAATGAATTGGCACTGAAGTCCCAAGTATTGTTTGAGGACTTGAAACTATGATTTATTTATTTTTTCAGGTCTGACCTAGTGGGCTTTTAAAAATTGTAATTAATACTTTTATGACGGATTACTGGTTCATGGCGCAAATGTGATATAATATTTGCTAGTTGCTCTGGACTCGTTTGGAAGGGCATGGTGCAACGCTTGTCATAAATAATAATATAAAACTTCCTGTTAACCTTCACTGCCTTTCCCCTTATTTGGTGACCTGCCTTCCCTTCTTCCTACAAATGCCAAAGTCAACCCCAGGTCCAGTCATTGGTTATACCTGTTTATTGTGAAATGCAAGCTACCTAATGCCATGTGGCAGTAGAAAAGAGCAAGAGTCCTGTTGTACCTTTATGACTAAGAATATTTGTGGCAGGGTATGAGCTTTCGCGAGCCACTGCTCACTTCTGTCACAGGCTCAGGTACAAGTAAAGGTTCCTTTGCTCGAAAGCCAGATGAGTCCTGCTGTACCTTTATGACTAAGAAAATTTGTGGCAGGGTATGAGCTTTCGTGAGCCACTGCTCACTTCTTCCACAGGCTCAGGTACAGGTAAAGGTTCCCTTGCTCGAAAGCCAGTCGAATCCGACTCTAGGGTTGCGGTGCTCATCTCCGTTTCAAAGCCGAAGAGCCAGCGCTGTCCGAAGACGTTTCCGTGGTCATGTGGCCGGCATGACTAAACACCAAGGCGCACGGAAGGCTGTTACCTTCCCACTGAAGTGGTACCTATTTATCTACTTGCAATTTCTTGCTTTCGAACTGCTAGGTTGGCAGGAGCTGGAACTAGAGACGGGAGCTCACTCCGTCTTGCGGCACCCTGGTCTCGAACTGCTGAACTACCGACCTTCCACAGCCTGCAACTCAGCATCTTAACCACTTGAGCCACCGCAGGCCCTGCCACAAATTTTGTGAATAGTATAGTGATTAAATGGGACTGATGAGGAGCAGACGATAAAACGGCCGGGTAGTCCCCCCATGGGGTCCGTCCCCCCCCCCCGACTCTGGAATGTGTAATGGTCTGCAGCAGCTTCTCGTTTCTGCCTCTTATCTAGCCGTTGGCCTTGAGCGCGCATGGCTTCAGGTGCCTCCCCACTCACCTCTGAACCGTTGACCAGTTCCCCGTGCTCCACATTAATTGCTTATTGGCTCCTAAGTGTCAGGGGGTGTGGTATGAACCTACTATAATTACTATTGCCATTTTATATGCCTCAGTCCTGACTCAAAGAGTCTAAGACAACTTCACCTTGCTCTGATCAATAAAGCTGAACTTGTTTAAGGACCTGCTGTTGATGCTGAGTTACTGAAGTACCTGACAACTTGGCGTAAGACTGCAACCACTGTCTTTCCCTCTCATAACATCCAAACGATGGACACTTCTTCCAGGTCCTAGCTAAAACAGTTGCAAAATGCAGAGCTGTGGACATTTGGCTCTGGGCCACATGGGCCCAGAGAGAAGGCACAAATTCTTCTACCCTAGTGTGGTTTCACCTATCAAGCCAGTCTGGTGTAGTGGTTAGGAGCATGGACTCTAATCTGGGAGAACCGGGGTTTGAGTCCCCACTCCTCCACATGCAGCTGCTGGTGTGACCTTGGGTCAGTAACAAGTTCTCTCAGCCCCACCTACCTACTGGGGCCACGACCATACAAGGGAAAACCATAGAGTTTTCCCTTGTATGGCCGTGGCCCCACCCCCAGCATGCCCGGCGTCATGACGCCACTTCCCTGTGACGTGCATGCGGCACGCGCTTCGCGCGCACACGCCGGGAGCCGGGCTGGAGTCCCCCGCCACAAGGATAAGTGCCATTTGGCAACCCTACACCTACCTCACAGGGGACGGGGAGGGAAAGGACACTGTAAGCCGCTCTGAGATTCCTTTGGGTAGTGAAGGGCACTGTATAAATCCAATCTCTTCTCTCTCTTTCTTCAAAACCATGCCCTTCTGCACACTATACGCCATTAGCTTTGGAAGGAAAATAGAGGGACGTCTTTTTTTTTTTGCCCCCTGCTGAAACTGACAGCAGAGAAAATCACATGAGGATAGAAAGACTGAACACCCTCTTCTCTTTCCCGTGTAGTCCCTTTCCAAACTGAGGTTCCACACAGCTGAAAATTTTCTTTAAAAGATACTGGGAAGATGTGATCACAGACCTCCCAGAATCTCCCTCGAAGCTGCTGAGTCTTGTGAGCAAAAATTCTGCTTGGTGAGCTACTGGCATTAAAAGTTGTGTGAGCGAGTGATTTCGCTACTGCATAAATTAGTTTGCTCTGGAGCCGTCCCTTCCTGAGCTAAGATAAAGAACTGTGAGCTGGAGGGGGAGGAGGAGGAGATTGGATTTATACCCTGCCCTTCACTACCCAAAGGATTCTCAGAGCAGCTTACAAACTCCTTTCCCTTCCCCTCCCCACAACAGAGACCCTGTGAGGTAGGTGGGGCTGAGAGAGCTCTGACAGAAATTGCTCTTTTACAAGAACAGCTCTGACAGAACTATAGCTTGCCCAAGGTCATCCAGCAGGTGCAAGTGGAGGCGTGGGGAATCAAACCTGGTTCTCCCAGATTCGAGTCCGCGCACTTAACCGCTACACCAAACTGGAGGCTAAAAACCTGCGAGCTAGCTCACACTAACTCAGCTTAGAGGGAACACTGATTCTGACCTTCAGAAAAGGCAAAAAGAAAGACTCATAGTACCTGGAAAGATCTTCTCAGCAGTCACCTGAGCAGGTCAGACATGGCAATAGAATATTTCAGAGGAGGAGCCAGGGTTGCCACCTCCAGGCTGGGAAATCTCCGGAGATTTGGGGGTGGGGTCTGGGGAGGGCGGGGTTTAGGGAGGGGCGGGACCTCAGCTGGCTCAAATGTCACAACGTTCACTCTCCAACGCAGCCATTTTCTCAAGGGGGACTGGTCTCTGCTGTCTGGAGATCAGCTAAAGTTCCGGGAGATCACCCAGCCGAATCTGGAAGTGGGCAACCCTCGTAGGACCCGTTATCGTGATTCCAAGATACACATCATTTAGAAGAAGGGAGGGATGGGGTTCGTCTATGGGTACGCCACAAAACAAGCATTTTCGCATCCAAAGTGAAAAGTAGCAATCCCACACAGATAAAAGAACAGATAAAAGGACGGACTTCTTCACCCAAAGAGTGATTAACACATGGAATTCACTGCCACAGGAGGTGGCGGTGGCTACAAGCATGGACGGCTTCAAGGGGGAATTGGATAAACATATGGAGCAGAGGTCCATCAGTGGCTATTAGCCACAAGGTTTAGATAGGAACTCACAGGCTGGGGCAGGTGATGCTCTGTACTCTTGGTGCTTGGGGGGGGGACAGTGGGAGGGCTTCTAGTGTCCTGGCCCCACTGATGGACCTCCTGATGGCACCTGGTATTTTTGGCCACTGTGTGACAAGAGTGTTGGACTGGATGGGCCATTGGCTTCTCTTATGCTCTTATGTTATGTTCACACCAATTT